TTTCCTTGGACTGTAGCATTTTAGAGTTTAATACTGCCACGTGATCCTGTTGCAGCCCAGTCACCTGCAGGCCCATGGAGCTCCACGGGGTTGCTGGAACAAGCGGTGCCTTCTCACGTCCCCTTGCCTGGGGAAGCAAAAAGCAACACTTCCACAACAGCCTCTTGCAGCTTCCAGAAATCATTGACTCAGCAGGGGGGAAAAAAAAAAAAAAAGAAAAAATAGAAAGAAAAAAAAAGAGAAAGGCTTCACGTGAATACGCGCAAATACTGAGCACGTATTTGAAGCGCTGATGCATCATTTAGGCCTCAGCTTGACCGCAGGCATACAAATAATCCCACTAAAGCGAGGTACATACTGAAGTGCCTTACTAGGCTGGGCTCTGCACGTTCCTTCTCCCATCCCGTCTCTGTTCTCAAAGTTTTCATTTCAGCTTTCGGCATTGTTAGGCCTTTTTCTTTCTGGCTGATTACTCCTGTCAGCTGTGAAGGACAGGGCTAAACGCCACTTAGGCTGACGAGCCCGAGCTTCAGGACTACCTTCTCGCATCACCCAAGACTTTCCTTCAATATTGTGTTGGTTTTTTTTTTCATTAGTGAGTTCCAATGCATTTGTAGCATCTAATCTGACTAGTATGTCAGGTAAAGTGGCGCCTTCTTCTTTGAAACAGGGACAGGTGACCCACATAGTCACATTTTTATTCAGGATTTTTTTGTCGATGCTGTTTTACTGAAATGCTGTGGGAGTATACGCCAGACATTGCTTGCTAGGGTGTGTGCTGCTTTTCAGTTTCATTTATTAACACTGTAAATAACCGCAGAGAAGGAATTTATCAGTGCATACGCAGGCTGCGCTCTGGTGAGCTGGGAGCAACTGCTCAGAATAACTGCTGGTGAAAGCAAGTTTTGACTACTGCAAGGGGAAAAAAAGAACTACTGCAGCAATAGGAAGCCTGTTTAATAATTCTGTCACAAAACAGGGTGTAAACAGATTTAGACAGTACCTAGACTGAACTGGGTATCCCCTCCGCAACCATCTGGTTTCACTGCAATAGAGAGCTTAATGTTCAGAATACAAAAAGCCTTAGTCAATGGCAAAGAGGCAACACTTGAGGAGAGCCTGGGTTAGGTGTCTCATGTGTGAATAGCCCCCGCCACCTTCATCTATTTTGTGCTGCGGTGTCACCGCTCTACGCTGCTGACATAGAAACGGTTTTCTGATGCTCGTAAACCTTGTTCAGCAGCTGGGCAGTATAAATACCACTCCTAAAGCAGGTTTAGTGGCATGTATTACTGAAGAAGTCACGTACTGCATTGCACAGGCAGCAACCCCGAGGTGCAAGACTCGAACCAAGCTGGTGCTGAGCTGCAGTCACGGACACCAACATCAGCAGAAGTCAAGGACCATGAGGAACTAAGGCCTAAATTCTGCTACGATCTCTGACCTGCCTTCCACAAACATGGCAGTTGCCCAGTAAGGCTGCAGATGGCAGGCATCTTTCTGTAAATTTGTATGAAAATTATATAGAAAAACACTAGTATTCTATTGTTCATAATGACAATGCTGAAAGATACAGTAAATCTCGTTATTTATGGGCTAACCTCTGCTTTAAATGCAGATTCTCAAACGCAAATTCTCAACGAAGTGTTTAAATGCTAACGCTAAAGCGTAACGGTGAAATACTTGCGAGCATCTATTCAGCAGAGCCTGGGATGAGAGCTAGGTTACTACAGACACGTTCTCGCCTCTGTGGCAAACAGAACGAGATCAGGAGGTTCCCCGTCATCTTTTACTGCTGCAGACATGGTAAGAAATTATAAAACAACATGTACCCTGTGCCATGGGAACATGTGAGCTAAAAAGTACCCAAAAGTGTGGGTGGGAAGTAGGGAGGAAGAGGAAATAGGGTTTTTTTGTGGATCAAAGTGCTCCAAACAGCAGAGAAAAAAACCTGCTGTAGTATTTCCTGGGGGCCAGAACTGCTTATGAAATGCAGTGCAAAAATGTCACTGTCTCTCTTCCTGAGCGTCCCCTTCCCCACTGAGGGCAGCAGTTCGGCACCCGCATCGCTGCGTGCCTCTGCAGAGCTGCCCTTGGAGCCAGCGGGTTTGAACCACGTAAGTAATTCCCAAAGCTCTTCCTAGCCTGCGGCCTTAATCTTCTATGTCCCACGGTATCACAGAGTTAACATAAAGCCTGCTAGTCTTCATCTGTTGCTATCAGCTCTTTTGGAGGGTCATGTTTATTTTCTCAGTATCCGGCATACGCAGGACACAAATGTCCTTATCGGTATAAAAAGCAGAGGCGTAGGAAGTCGTCCCACTTACAGCAGCGTATTACCTCCCGTGTACCTTCGGATAGGCAATGATAGGACCTGCCAGTTTACAACAGCTCTTTATTTTACTCATATTATAAAACATCATCACAGGGCTTTAGTTAAACAGTGTTCACCTGTTTCAAATCATGAGCTTCATTTTCCCCTTTATTATAAATACTAACAAATTAACTTTATTTTCCATCAGCAATACCATAAAAACTTAGTCTAACTGGACATATTTTTCAGCGATCCCCTGATGCAAAAATCCTGAAGAATTTGAAGTAGATCTCTATATTGCATATACACTTAGTTTTATATATACCTATATAAAAACTCACCATTTCTGTATAACACTCATTATCGTGATCTTTCACTTAATAAATTATGTCAGCATTATGAAAATATGAACAACCATCTAGTTATTTTGCTGCTTTAGAAGATATTTAATGATTGAACAGAGAACTGCAAAATTACATGAATGCAATGGGAAGTCATGTACACGTTCATTTAAGATTTCCACATGGACTTTTCGTATTCCAGAACTTTTTCCACATTTTGTAAGTCCCTCAAAAGCTTCCAGTTACCTCTTTCTTTGAACACATACACACAAAAAGTAGTGATGTGCATATATGTATTATACGTTACATACCATATGTAATTCTATATATATATTTATAAGCAAATATATGTAACATACTCTGAGTATACATATCGTATGTAATATATATACACAGAGAGAGATACCACAGGTGTGTCGTATGCATTTAGACATACAGGTGTATGCATAAATATATATATATATATGGTAAATTCTTCCCTCTGATATGTATATGCTGCTCTGAGAACTGGGTGCCTTCCACAGAAACCTACTGCCGTCAGCGCGATCCATTCACTTCCAAAGACACAAGCAAACCTGTCCCTGACCCATTTAACTTGAGCGAGTTTTGGCTCATGCCTCATGAACTCCAGTTCATGCTTTGAAATGGACCCATCTTGTCCTTGGGTTAAGTTTTAAATCACCAAATTAAACACAGCTGGCACTATAATGTATTTCAACAAATAACCAAGAGCACTTCAAAAACAAAAATCAGACAGGGCCTGATTCTTCTGCTGATGCCTGTTTTATCCCAGTGTGACTCGATTGTCCGAAGGGACCGCTGCACGCAACGAGGAACCTGTGAGTAGTGCGAGGCTGCTTGTCTTGGCTTTAGAGTGTAATTCACATAGACTTTGAGTAGGTTAAGCTGTTTATTTTGCATTTGGATTTGTAAAGGAAAGAACAGGCCTTTTATGGGAAGATAAAAGGTGGATATTCACTAGAAATAACAGCATAGATGATACATTCTTAAGTGAAACGTGTGCACCATATAACCTTTGGGTTACATTTTTAATTTGTTAGATAAATATTTACTTACTGAATGTGTTTCTACTATGCACCTGATTAACCAGGACAACTCTTATTAAAATGTTTTAGATGAATACTCTGCATATTAAAAATACATAATAAAATTCTGAAACTAGTCACTGCTAAAAAGTAGATCTTGGATCCTGCAAAGATCCGGAGCACCTGCTTAAAATTAGAATTTGAGTAGGTCCACTGATGGCCTTTACTGTGAGTGAGTGCCTAAATATTTGCAGAATCAAGACCCTTTATTATTCAAAGGTTAAATTTGGGATCTCACACCTGAGAACACGTAGTGGTTACTACCATGAGTAATCCCCACCAAGGAGAATGTTATGTCTTGCGGCAATAGCCAGAGCAGACTCTGAGGGCGAGAGAGACTGACTTTACTCATGTATGAAAAGTGAAGGTGGGACTGACTCTTTAGACAGCAAAGAGCAATGATTACCAACAAATCTTCCCAAACGCACTACATTTTATTTCCCAAGAAGGCCAACTTTGCATTACATATTAATAACTTAGGCATATTTTTCTCCTTAAATATATTTGTATAACATAAAAATAACAAATCTTTATTTTTAAAAATGAAATTTGAATAAAAAATTGCCTTGCGACTGAAACTGCATACTTCAAATTTCTCCCACAGCAATTTACTGACAGCCAGGTTGTAAACCCCAGAAAACAGGGGTCTGTGGTCGGAAATGCTGACACAGCCTCATCTTACGCTGCTGTAGTACATCTCAGTATAGAGATGAGCAGATGCACTTTTGCACGCAGGTTGCCAGAAATCCTACAGCTCATTCCCTATGTGCTCATTCTGCTGTAAGATGGTAACTTGATTCAAATTGCCAAAACTTAAAAAAAACCCAAAACTGAAACTTGTGCTTCTAGAATGCCCTGACCCTGTTTGCAAAGCACTTCCCCCATGTCACCCGGCTTTGGCATCACTTTGCCTTCCTTATTGCATGCCTCTTGAACCATTCTGTGGCTGAAGTGTTAAGCGTGTATGTTGTGTAATTGTATATATTAAAGAAAACTCTCAAAAGAACTGGATTTCTGCAAATTGGATTGGTAAATTTTCATCTCTGGATTATTTCTTTTTGTAGGGTCTAGTGCTATTTTGGTTGAACCCAATGGGGAAAGTCCCACTGAAGTCCATGATGCAAAAGGAGCTGTTAGACATTCAAAGATCTCTCCAGCCAACCTCTCTGTGATTCCCTCTCTCACAATTTTTTTAAAATGTGCCCATTATCACCAACTGAATGTTAAAACCCTTTATCCCCAACTGCCAATGTTAAAATTCATTCTTTTTTTAATACAAACAACATTTACCACAAAAATATGAAGGGAAAAGCCATCAACTTGTTTGCAAGTTATTACCTATTCGTATGACACAAAAGAAAAATCATTTACAGTCACAAACTGTACATAGTATTCGGTGGGGGACAGTATATTTGTGGTTTAGAGTAAAAAAAGGATTGCTTCAGTGGTAATTAAAATAATTATTGACGAGATATAAGACTTTAAAATCAAGAAAGTGTGATAATTTGGCTACAGAGACGATCATTGTAATATGTCTAACACAGAGGTTTGGATAGTAGAAAGGTGAGTAGAGGGATCTGGGGAAGGAAAGACACCGTCATGCAGAACAGCACTAGTTCTTGCTCAGTATACTCTTCAGGCTTCTCTCCACTGCTTCATCTAATTCTTCTTCGAGCTCTTCCTTCTTGGACATGGCCAGTTTGGACTGATAATCTTTTACTATTTGGTCTATATATGGTGCGCTCTGAGTCCCGTGCAGCATCAGTGTCCACTCCTTCAGCACGCCCCGCTGTGGCAGACTGCCAACAAACCCAATTTCTAGAGCCCAGGTGCCTCGGGGGTCTTCTCCCCAAGTGTGTGTGGTCATGAAAGGCCATTTGTCAAAACCCACCTTGGAGTCGTCATCCCTGGGACGCCGGCTCAGTAAAATGGACTTTGTTCCCATTGGTGAGGTCATGTTGATGTTGAGGTCTCCTCGCCTAGTGGAATTCACAGTTATAACTGCTTGGACGTGTTCAAGGTACCGAACAAAGTTTTCCTTGCCCTCACAAGCATCAGTTGTAAGTGTGAGGACCAGCTTGCCGCTTGGTGGGATCTTTCTGCAGTTCAAAAGAAAATGAAGCAAATTACAAGGATATAGACAGCATGACATGGCTAATGCTGAAACTACTGGTTTTTGGTGCCTCACAGAAAAAGAATGTACTATTTTCCTTATTAATACATGGAAAAGTAAGGAAATAATAGTTGCAAACTTAGTAGCCAGAAAGAGAACATTCTCTTTTTGGAAAATGATATCAAAACCTTAATTTGAAAATACATTATGAAATGTACACCTACACAAAGAGAAGGAATACAATTAAGAAGTACATACAGCTATTTAAGAAACACTAACATATTTAATAGCTGCCTTTACTTATCACTACTATATTGGGTAATTGCATAATAATGTGTATGTTCAGTAGAAGAACCATGAGCAGTCAGTCGTGTTAGACAGGCACCTTAAAAGACAGCAGCGAACGGCTGTCTGGAGTCAGAGGAGCCAGTTGCGCAGAATTTCAGTGCAGTCACATTAAAGCCTACATCCTTGTTCTGATTTGGAAACCAGCTCAAACACGGGATCTCAGTTTCAGCTCATTTGAAAAGTATTTTTCCATTAAAATTGCTATCCTTGAACTGCTGCCGTACAGGAGCACACAGAGGAAAGAAGTTGCACTTGTTTACTGAGTTGCCGAAGTGCTGCACCTTGAAATCTCAAGTTTCTTGGTGATTATAACTCAGTCCTTATGAAGGCAAACTCACAATTAACTGAAGGACATTTGTCCCAAGTATTACCAAAAAGCTAGATCTGCAGGTGGAACGCAGGCTCACTCCTGTGCAAGATGCATCCATGCCTTCCCAGCTCTCGCAGAGGAGGCCAAGGAGCCACTGTGCACTGTGTAGTCCCACCTGGGATCTCAGCGCAGGTCCAAGGGCACTGGTGCCTGGCCTGGGAGCAGCGCCCTGCCAGCAGCCGAGGCTGCCGAGCGCCTGCTAAACCCCTCGGGGTGAGGATGCGAGTGGCAATTACCAGTTGCCTCAGAAACTGGCTGGCAAACTACACTGGAAGTGTAAACAAAAGCCTCTGCGTCTTCACCATCAGCAAGCTGTGAGCAGCGTGACACTTTCCTCTGCCTAAAAGAAATACTTGAAAGACAAGAATTACTGCGATCATTAAAAAAGGGAATAAGTCACAAAAGACTCCAGTCAGCTTGTCATTACCTCTCCCAGTGGCTTCTCCGTGACCTAGGTTTTGCAGTAAAATAAGAGTCCCTTTTAAAGGGCATTGACCACACTGTGGTAATAAATATCTTCTTTTCAAAAGAAATGAGTACCAGCCTTTTCCCTTTGCTAATAAATAGTGCGTTCTTCAGAGACCAGTGAAAGCCTTTCATTTGAGCCTAGCTTCCAGAAATTCTCTTCTTCCGGAGATGCGCTCTAGGTATTACAGCTTAGTACATCACTAATTGGCTCAGGCCAGTCTCTGACCCCCTTTCATAGAGTACTGCCTTCTTGGGAGTACTTGCGGAGTAAAAAGACATTCAGGTCCAGGTCCTCAAGGCATTTAAACACTTACCTTAAACTGAAAAACCTGTGTTGTTCTGAATCTTATGGATGCCCTGGAGCAGAAGCTGGTATAACATAAATACTGTATAGCTAAAATATTTGAACATATAATTGTAATACCCTCAAGATTTACTTTGTGTGCCAAAGCACAAAGAAAATGCACTATATGCCAGCCAGAGGTGAAGGATCATAATCTCACAGTTGCCATATACTTGCAATTTCTCTGCATGGGAAGCATAATCCTCAAAGCAATCTGAATTCATGTTGTCTCATAGCAATCTCACACAGTAGACAAAGCTTTGTCAAACAGTGCTTCATTCCAACAGTTGTGGTAAGTGCATTTCCTCCAGTAAATGAGGGAGGACACCACAGTGTGAGTCTTTTCTATCTATCAAAACCAAAACCCAAAGAAGTAAAAGCAGTGTTACCACCCCATCTGCTTTGCAGACAGCCTTTCTCTCCACCTTCATAAGTGCTACAGTGCAAAAGTTATCTCAGCTCCCTAAAACACATGAGAAGAGGCTTGCTCTGTTTCCCCCTTTCCTGTTAGTTTGGATCCAATACTCTCTGCTTCGCTAGACTAATTACTATAGTCCAGGTGAATTTCCGCAAAGAAACAAAAAGAACCAGGGGTGGTGGAAAAAGCCTGACACGAAAGGAGCAGAAGAGGAGATGGGTTTTCCACACCCTCACGGTGTACTGCTGCCCAATTGCTATATATATATGTATGTGTGTGTGTGTGTGTGTATATTTATATAAAAAACATACTCACTTTTGCATGAAGTGTAGTACACAGTTAGAGATGAGCACGGGGAGCTAACTGCTCTCTAGAAGCATACTCCCATGCTCCTGTTCCTCAGCTAATGGACTACGATTGTCCCAAATCATCTTCGTACCTCCCTGGACCAGCCAGATTCAGACTTGTCCATTTTTTTCTTTTTGCTGATCCAACAAAAATCCCTCTTCAGTGAAAGTTCCTATTGCTAACAAGTGTTTCTACATGCAGCAGAGAAATGCTGCGCTTTAAATACTGATTGCTTTCAGCACACTGTATATTCTAGGCTGTCAACTCTTTCCTGGCCTGTTTCTGCTAATTGACAATGCTCTTATGGTACACACTTCTGTATCAACTACTCACCTATCTAAATATATATTGAATATGTATTTTATATCTATAAATATCTATATAAACATATATAGACTATCTAAATATATATTGAATATTTATTTTATATCTATAAATATCTATATAAACATATATAGAATATATATAGAGAAAATGTTGCTCCAGCAAGGCCAAACTGGAAAAATAACCCAATTATCCATGGCAGAAGTGCAGCATAGTTTTCATTTCCAAGGAATCTCTGGAGATGCTGGGACGTCACTGGTTTAATTTACAGTGTAATTCAAGAAGTGTAGATGTTGCAAGTCATGATTCTTACTATCTCTTGTCAGTGTTTCATTTGGGGACATAAATATTACAGCAGTACTATTAACATGCACGTGTTGGGTAATTGGGGGTATGGGAGACACCCATACAGACTGCACACTAAGAATCACTGCAGTAGAGCTAGGAGGCCTAGGTTGTGACTGACTTGGTTGAAATAACTTGGCTGCTGTTGTATGCTTTTAAAATCTCTTCTTTACAAATCTGTGTGCTGTAAGCACAAAGCCTGTTCTGGGTGCTGCTCTCAAAGACACCAATACAAAGCAATGTATTTCTCAACTCTGGAGCCTGTTGGGCAACGACAGCTATAGGGAATCTTTACTGCAATTCCAGACACCCGGGCTGGAGGAAAGGCACCATCACCTTTGCTCTTCTGTCGGTTCACCAGCAGACACGGGACAGAAAAACAAAGGCAGAGGGAGACAATACTGCATAGCACTTGCCCGCCTCTGGCTCAGTCTGTTGCCAGAATATCTCTACCACATTGTCTAATGCATGGAGCCAAGCCTACAGAAAGAAATTTTCTCTCTTCCTCTAGGATGATCCCCATTTCAATAAATGGGGCTGCACCAAGATAAATGAGATAATTTCTCTGCATTTAAATTATGAATAAACTAGAGATAGCTCAAAATTCGCTTCAGCACGCTCTCATTTGTTTCCTATCTGTGAGCATGCGTAGGCCAGATAAATTAAAACTCGTATTTCAGCTGTAGAACCTTGGATCCTGCAAATACAAACCCATCTGGAGGCTGGGAACAAACTTACTCTTTGCCTGGCTGAGCTATGTGCCAGGGTGGCATATTGGTTTGTTTTATTTTTCCAATAGAATAATGATGCCTTCAAAAATGGCACTGAAAAGTCAAATTTCAAATGGTATAGAAATAAATTGGCCATTATTAGATTAGTATTTCAAATAACTGAATTGAACTATAGCTGTTGCAGTCTAATAGTATTAATTCATTCACTTGTTGACTCATTCACTTCAGCACATGAAGGTAAATCAGAAAATAATTTGACTACATAGCCTGCAATTAGAGATTTGAAGAACATAAACCAAACACAATTAAATGCTGTAGTGTTCAAACAGAATCACTGGTACCTGTAGAAGATTGTTTCAGTCTTCTGGAGCTGAGCTGTCTGCTGGAATATGTCACAAGGAGTTACGACCTGGCTGACAGATATTTCATGTTGCAGCAGTTCATATAATTTACAGTACCAGCCTCCCAGATTTTCACTTGTGCACAGGCTCTTTATTCACAGAAACTTTGGCACAAACCTGCCCGTAAGTACTCAGGAGAAATGGATGTTGCTATTAACACTACTGGCACTAGCAACGATGATACAGATGAGCTGTAGAATGCACTCCTCCAGCAAACCAGGAACTGAAAGATCATGTAGTTTATTTTATCAACTTACTGAAATAGTTGGAATGCTACTGGTAATGTTAGTCTTTCTTAGAAAAAAAATTTTCATTATGTTTCTTTGACTATCTATGTCTTTGCCCACGTATTTGCATGCTTGTGGTCTCCCAAATGCCTGGAAAAAGCCAAACACATCTACTAGACTATTCACTTACTCAGGTTCCTGTATTGACCCTCCAACACAATGGAATCTCTCGGGAACAGTCTTCCAGTCTTTCGCCATCTTAACCATTGCTCCTGCATCTAGGACACCATAGCCAAACAAATGGTTGAATTCCAGCCCAACGCCATTTCTACGCCATTGATGAACCTCATCGTGAAGCTGGTTCCTCTTGGAGGTGAGCACTGTCAGATGCTGCATGTCTCTCCATGTCAGATCCAAGCTGTGGAAGAGCAACATGGAAAAACACAGTACAGTATTTCCAAGCAGATATTAAAGAAAAACAGTGTGTTTGACTAAGCCTTTTGGTAAAATTTGCTTCTATGAATCACACAGAAATTGTATCTATACACATATCAATAACAAAGCTTCTGTTCATTTCAGCGGGAACAAGAATAGGTTTTAATTGTATAGTACTTCCCCAAAATATATTCCCCAAAATTGCAAAAAAATTTGATTGTTTCCCTGTTCTTGAAATAACTGCTTTTAACTACACGTTATAGGATCCACCATGTAATTTTTAACTAATAAAATGAGTAGGATATTATACCAGATCCTGAAAAGAATACAAAAACAAAAGGACGATGACAGAATTTCACCTAGCCTTCCTCTTAAATCTTGCCCTCTTCTCCTTGCCTGCTCCTCCTGCTTTTCCCATGGACCTTCCAAGATTCACCCAGAGAAGGTCCAATCTGATTAAGCTGATGAGCTATAACAATCAAGGTGTTAGTAATTTCAGTATTCGGTGAATATGGGTATATGGGCTGTGGGTGGCTGTAGGTTTGCATTATAAGGTATGGTAGAGGTTTGTCACCTGTGATATACCAGTATGGATGGATGCAGTCAAGTAATATTTGTCTAGATTCGATGACCACTTTTCATCATCAGCTCTTGTCTTCCTAGATTTGCAGTGATTATGATGACAGGAAGGGCACTTTAAGTTATTATTCTGGAAGCTTTAGAACTGACATTCTAATTCTACATAACTAAAGCTATTCCAGTTTTATGATGAACTCTTTCAACTTTACAATATGTCTGATTCAAACCATCAACCTAGAAGGATCCGCTTTTCAGCTTTCTGTGCCCCAAGTAATAAGCATGTGTGCATGCTGAATATACACCAGAATAGCCAATTACTGTCATTTTTCCAAGGTGACACAAGATAGCTGAAAACCAGATATCGCTTGCATCATTCTTATTGAAACCTTTTAAGAGCTGCTACATATCTTAAAACCGTACTTTCCATTTCACAGATTGGTCTGTTTTTAGAGACACATCAGACATCTATTGTATATGAGCTGAGAGACATATGGAAGGGAGCAGTTGTCTGCATGGGAAATTGTTAGCCGTTCCTGTGAAGGCTAGTGTACCTCATCCAGGGTAGTTCTGCACACTAAAATGGAGGTTTAATAAAGCCAGCCTGGAAGGAGGTAGGAGACACTGACAGTTCTTTCTATCTCCCCCCACCCTTCTTCTCAGCAAAGGCTAGAAACCCAATTGCAAACCAGGGTTATTAGTCTAATTTCTACTTGTGATAGTTTGGCAAGAGTAATTCCAGTCTTCATGGATAGCCCAAATGAAGAGGAATGGTAATTACTACTGAGATACTAAGGTTGTAGTCCAGGTTAAACATGCAGTGGTCAGAAAATTCATTAAACCTTTATATTTTTATGACCATAATTATTTATTACATCGTGGCTGTCCCACTGAATGAATTTGACAGTAGAAGGATCATCCGAAGTTAAAACACTTGGCCTGTGTGTTTTATGTGTATAAAACCTGAAAATGAGACTTGGCCCAAGTCATGCTCTGAGCACAACGATCATTGCTCTGCTAATGACAGACACTTTATCTCCCCTGCCAAATCTTCATTCTTCTGCATACTGTTGAAGAAAACTATGTACATAGTGCTCACTTCATGCTGTGGTTACAGCAACTGAAGCTGTATACCTGAGTAAATGTTGTCCCACTTCATAAAATAATTTAACACAAATTAAAAAGATGGTATAGGTTATTGTAAGGAAAACTTGTCCTAATCATTAGAGAAGATAATGAAGCAAGATATACAGGAGGTCTCCAATGTCACGAATAGCATGGAGATGGTAAATAGACAATGGTTATTTATTCTTTCACATAACAGAGCAAATATGTAGCACAGAAGCAAATTACCAGCAATGGGTTAAGAAAACACAAAGGCAACATTCCCCACCACCATCGCCAAAAACTATTATTACTGTGGAATTGTTTGCCACTGAATGATACAGGTGCCAAATATAGACAAGTTGAAAAAGTGTTAGACAAATTCAAGGAAGATAAATCTGCCTGTGGCTATTAAACAGGACAGGCTGACCGCTCTCTCTCCAAACCACTGCTTGCCAAAGCTGTTGTTGAAAGCTTGCTCTTAATCCCTGTTTGTTGTACTCCCTCATAAGCATCTGTCATTGCAGACAGTATGTGGCACAAGATGAACTCCTGTCTGATACTATAGGTTCGTTCTTATGTTTTTGTAGGCTGGGCATTCCCCACTGGATATGCGGAGAAATGAAATAATCTCTCCATCCAAACAGTGCCGGAGAAGACAAACCCCTGGAAGCAGTGGATGGAGAGGACACAAAGAGCGAGTCAGCCAAAATGTATCTGTTACATGGCTTTGGCAAGACTGTCGCTCCATCTGTAAGTTACCAAGCATGTCACTACTGTAGCAGGCAGCTTGTTAGCTGTTCCTTCTAGCCCTGTGCCACAGCCAGCCAACTTGTATGATGAACAACATTAAACAAACCACAGGCCCTCTCCTCTCTAGAGCTCACAAGGAATTTCTCAACAGCATACTTAGCCTCCAGGGCCAAGGCAAACACTCCGGCTGCTTCAGGGGCAGCTGCAGATGTTCCTGAGTGACGCAGGGTGCAGTTGCCATATAAATCCGTTGTAGCCTGCAATGATATTAGACGTAATTAACGAAATTAGCTAGTCCATTTTCCTTGCAGCTACAGACTCAGAAAAATACAGAAAGTGGAGTTTGCGCCCTTGCTCTTTAGAGTACTTGTGCGTTTGTTCCTAGGATCTGTTTTCTTCTTTAGAATAGCATATCAATTTAAAAAAAGTGAGACATAGTTACAGAAGGTGTGAATGCAAGAATAAATTATGATGTAGGAAAACAATATTCACTACCACTTAGAAGCCATAAACTCATATGGATGTCATTTATTTCCTACAAACACAGTCTAACCAAAGGCCTTAAATTCCCTTATGGTTATCTGAAGGATTTGAAACTAGGATTTGAAACTAGAATTGTTAGCAGTATTGAGCTTTCTAACATTTGTGCAACTCCAGAACCAACAGCAGTACCAGGCTGCTATCTTCTATGCAGATTAGTCACTAGAAGAGACCAGAAGGAAACCTCAGAAGTACATTTTATGGTGATAATTACAAAGGTGCCACAGATCGTCTTGGCTGATACCAGCAGAGAGCTGATACCAAGACAGAAACCAGTATTTTTCCATCTGCTACTGCACAGGGGCATTTAGGATGCTACAATGTGTCTTTGCGTTTGAGACCGGGCCAAGGAAAATGTACAGAGGCTTTTGGCAAAGACTGACCTTGAGTTATTACAGCTGAATTTTCCACTCTGTGAATTAGACTATGGCTAGTCTGAAGGTGCTGAAGAGCAGTGATCAGTACAGGGGAAGAGAGTCCCAGTTACACTTGAACAGAAACTGCGTATTTTCCAGTTGTAGGTACGGCCCTGAAGGGGACTTGACTATGATGCTCCGCGCTGCTCAGTATGAGACTGAGGGTGATCGGAACCCCCCACATTTCCTCTGTAGGTGACTGAATGTCTCTCTGCTCTGTGCAGCTTCTAGTACAGCAGAAGTCTGGTTCATGACTGCTCTGCCAGTACAACTAAGTATGATGTCAGATGTTGACACTTCTCATTTAGATTTTTACGGAGACCTTTTATCACACTGTCCTCTGGAAAGAGTGCAATTGAACTTCTAAATCTGGTTTCTGCTAAAAGAAAGCACCAACTATATGAAGCTCTAAGAGATGGAAGATCATTGCTTTCCTCAATATTAATCCCACATCTCCTCAGCTGACAGTTTTGGCACGATCATGTACTGCAGATGAGAAAATATCCATCTCAACAAAGGACCATCTGCTGCTCCAAAGCAGACAGAGTTGTAATAGGTTGTGGGAGTGCACAAAGACAGCAGCAACAGGACAATAATATCTGGACTCACCACACCAGCCTCCGGATTTCTCTTCCTCCCATTACTAAAGGTGGAGGCTAAGGTTGAAGAGCAGCTTTCATCATACAGAGCTGTCCGTCCATCATTTATAGCAGAATTGATGGAGATTGTCCACATGCTCGATGCATAACCGTCACAGTTACAGTCATCGTAGCTGCCCCCATCTCCAGAGGCCCAGACATAGATGCTTCCTTTGCCGCCTCGGCCCTATGAAAGGGGAAAATTGATCCTCTTGGGTTAAATTGCAGATAGGAGATAGCAGCTACTTTAAACTGCACATCTAATTGTAAAGCTAGGCATCTATTAAGGAGAAAACTGGTCCAAACAAAATATAAATCAAACTTCAGCTGAAATAACATGGACTTCTGCAGGTTATTAAATCCAGTTAACTGGCAGCCACAGCCAGTTCTGCAGCCTTACATACACAGAGCACTTCCATTTATCTCCTGTTTTGTTTGATGCCCTGAAAGCTCCTGTGCCAGATGCTAAGACATTTTATGGATTCATTAGCGTTTATGTCAAGGTCTCTGTACTATGAGGAAAGCGTTCTTTTAAAAGGGATATAGGTCATCTCATGCGCTGGGTTTGTAAGATCCAATTAGGTTCAGGCAATGGCTAAAAAACTCTATAGAACTGGCACATTTTTCTCTCAATAGACTTTTCTCCAAAGGTATCACTGACTCAGAGCTGTTTTTCTGACAAACCAGCTTCTACTACTAAGCAGAAAACAAAGTTATGGGACCATATGAATCATCTACAGAAAGATGGTCTACCAATTACACTGAGAAGGCGAGAGATGGACGAAGAGTCTGAAGCTGATGGGCAGCTATAAAAGCTTCCCATTAGTTAAAGGAAAGAAATCCGTACCCTCTCCCCAACTTCCAGATAGGCAAGGAGTGGGAAGGGATCAACTCAGCTCCTTCTTCTCATCCCATACTAAGAAAGAGGTAGGGGCTGCCTGGAAGAGGGTTAGACCTGAGAACCCAGACACTAAGGGAAAGATCAGTGCTACTGAACCCTGGGCAGCTATAAAAGCTTCCCATTAGTTAAAGGAAAGAAATCCGTACCCTCTCCCCAACTTCCAGATAGGCAAGGAGTGGGAAGGGATCAACTCAGCTCCTTCTTCTCATCCCATACTAAGAAAGAGGTAGGGGCTGCCTGGAAGAGGGTTAGACCTGAGAACCCAGACACTAAGGGAAAGATCAGTGCTACTGAACCCAAAGCTCAGATCTCCGACCGATTCCAGCACAGCCACCATTTCTCTCTGCATTTAGTCTGATGTAATCCGATGTTTACTTCCAGCAGCACCAAAAGGGGGCAAGGCCTCTATTTAACATACTGTTTATACGCATTGGGCAGAAGGTAAGAAAAAAATCTCTTCTGGCCTCTTCACTGTCCAGCATGAAATGGAAGTTAAAGAATATACAAACATAGCAACCTGCAATGGTATTTTAATAGGGAACCTTTTCTGCCAGGAATTTAAATCAAATCTGAGCTCCCAGCAGTAGCTTCTATTTTTCATCATACCCCACTGAACAGAGCAACCTCATTATTTCAAGCACGTTAGTGAGTTGCATTATAATTCACTGAATTGCACAGCAGGTTTGCTGCCACCGGGGTACATAACATCTCAGGACATAGATTTTCATAATAAAGATGATGACTATGAAAAAGCTTATTGAAATCAGTCTAAGAACTCCCACAAAGATCTGAGATCAATCATTTGAGTTTTAAGGGAGGAAGATACTGTTGCAAAAATATATACTCTAAAACCAAAATAATTCCAGCAAATTATTTAAAAAAAATAAAAAAGATCAGCATAACAGGAAGAGTTATGCCTCCTTTCCCCTTTGACTTTTTCCCCTACAGGGCCCTACCCTGGGCTTTGGACTCACTTCAGAGGCTACATCCCAAGCTCGTCATCGTGCCCACATACACCATCACATCACCTTGCTACCATCTGCCTCCTTTGGACAGCCTCGGTGGCAGCCCAAGCACATCTCTCTCTGTCCCAAAAAGGCAGGCTGCTGCCCAACGCAGAGAGCCGGTGGCTGCTGGTGCCAGGAATAGGACGTTTGGCACGTACAGACCCGTTCTTAAACAACCTTTTCCTTCCAGCCATTTTAATGGGACAGGAAACACTTCATTTTCATGTGATAAATTCACAAAAGTAGTTTGGTGCCTGGAAGTTAGCCTCTGCAGCGTTCGGCATGGGGAAGCAGACTTAGCCCTGCTCGGCAAATTGTTCCACGCTGCCAAAACTGCAGCATTTCACCCCATGAGTGGGATTTGTGGCAGAATGGCAGAAAATGGGAGTAACAGATTGCTGGCGGGGAGCAGAGGGAATCCACGGAGGAACTGAAATTTAGGCTCGAATTCATGGGTGGAGTTAGCCTGCTAGAGTGCTGCTGGGGACGGCTTTTCTGCATGTAATTACTGTAACGTGCAAACGGCCTCAGGATATCACTTCTGTAAGTGTCACATCCACAAGTGTGGCTTAGTGTTAAAAACCATAATTCACCTCTTAACACTCTAATTTCAGTTGACTTTCCATTTTAGCCAGGACTGGGAAGAGGAGCAAACACTACTGGAATAAACTGATAGCAGTGCAAGTGCATTATTTACAATGATGCTTAGGACTTGCTTCTTACATTTCCCACAGCCAGACCTGCAGTAGTTGGAGAGTTTGCACAGGCAAACTGTTTGGTGGCTGCCCTCAGGCATTGTTTCATTTACCAGGCGGAAATATATGGCTTCAGGGGAAGTGAATTTTCAATTCTCTGGACGTTAGTAGTCTAAACCAGAAAAATCTAAGTTGGGTCAACTAAGTGTCACATTTAAAGCCAACTGAAAACTCCTACTTACATCTCGACCTTATACAAACCTCAGAAAATTCAGTGATGTCACTCAACTTAGGCTGCTGGAAATTTAGGCCAAAAACAGAACTGGAGAAGGTACTAGTAATACACACTACAAACACCAGAGGGAGCATGAAGGAAGATTCAGGAAGAAAAGAGAAGACCAGCAAGATAATAAGACACATTTTAAAGAGTATCTTTCATCCAGAATCCTGTTGAAACCTGCTCATTTCCCCCAAAAGCAATGCACAGCGTGGCACCCACACTTCTGAGCCATTTGAAACTGCATCTCGCTCAGAGCTGAAAACGGATCTTGGTGCATTTAGTACTAGCCCAAGAGAGGCTCACCTCTCAATTCAGGCTAAACCAAAATTAAATCCTGGGCAAGGCTGTATGCTTAGAAAGTCACGACAGCTACTGAGAAGCTCTCTTTGCAGAAACAGCAGGTTTTCTATTTCCAGTGTCCTTCGTGGGATGTTGTGCTACCAGCAAAAAATATCCCTGAGACATTTTCTTACCCCTTTTCTCATCTTCTAAAGAGCGTAATCCCAGAAAAACTTCTTTACTGAACTACCTTGCAAAAGTGAATTGGCGGGGGACTGCAGCCTAATTCACTTTATGTAACTTCAGGCGCATCTTGAACTTTTTTTTTCCTTGTTACTGTGTTCATTCATCACGCTTGCTGGGCTAGTGCCTAAGCCAGTGTTTCTCAAAGTTTTGATTAGATCACACTATGCAGATAAAAATGGGTGGTATTTGACAATTCCATTTGATGGAAAGAACATAACAGTCTTTACAACATGTTTCTGATGCCCTCTGGCTTTGACCTAATCCTTCAGTCATAGATCAGGACTAACAGTTTCCAAACAGTACAAGCTAAAAACAAAGAACAGACTCCTGCCCTGAAAAGCCAAGTACCAGGGAGCGACAGCATTGGGACACCAGCAGGCAGATGGGATAAGAAGAAAAAAAAGCAGCACCTGACTGCGAGGAGGTATTTTTTTTAGGCGCAGCGAGAAGGTATTTCAGGATAAGGACAGCCAAATGGTTTGCTTATGTTTATGGACTGTCCCATGTCGAAGGAAGGAAATGCAGATGGAGCAAATTTGGAAAAAAATATGAAAAGTTACAGAACTGGAAATTGCTTTCTGTAACAAATTTAAAGCACATATTATTTTATAAGCACCTTTCTTTTTGCGTGACATATGAAAGCCATTTTGTAATTCTTCCCCTTAAGAAAACAGAAGTGTTTCAGCACCTTCTATATAATTTAATAGCAATTTATGTGCCTGCTATGTAAGAGAGAGGCTGGTTTTCCAGGAAAAGCAAAAAATTCTACAGCTTTTTCAAGTCTTTGCCATGGGTCCTACTGACTTATGAATAGGACTCAGTTAGTTTCCATCCCCTATTAATTTTGACTGTATTTTCCTCTGAAAAGAGCGTTTCTTTCTCTTCAGTACTGAAGAGAATACTGATTATTTGAAAATCCTTACATGTTTTGTAATTAAAAACGGCATCATTCAGTAATGATTGCTAATTATCTTAGAAAGCATAGTTTGCAGCCCAGGCAGGAAATGCGAAATCGCCATCGTGTCCCCAGGCTGGGGCATGCCAAGGCAGGACTGACTGTGGAAGAGCTGTGGGACCATTTGCCCGCTGTCATGACTTGGCAGGGAGCATTGGGCTGGGCTCTCAAGACATGCAGGAGCCTACGCAGAGACCTCGCTCTGCCTTGGTCTTGCCACCACTCCCGTGCAGGAGCAGTCCAACTATGCAACACAAGCCAGCTGGAGGCAGTGAGTCCTTGGCATCGCTGAACTGCTGCTCATCTTTTGCACTGCCAGGGTTTTCTGGAGCCTGCCTGCGTGTTCCTGCATCCCTGACATGGTGCCAGCTGGACAGCCCGTTGAGCCCTTGCTCTCCTGGCTCCTCCAGCTACCTCTGCATCTGCCAGGCTGATCTCCCCAGAGCAATCTGGTAGCCTGTGACTTCCTGGATCCCTTTGCTCCTTTCCTATACTGATTTCTTGGGGAGTGCTAAAATCTAAAGCAAAATCTAGGCAGAAACACATGCCTGACAGCCAGCCAAATAATCTCAATTTAACCACACAGACATCAAAGTCTTAAGCAGGAAACATATTTGGATTTCCAAAGTTTGCCACTGCACACGTTCAGGGGACAGCTGTCTTGTTTGAGCTGAATGCCTTAGCACTTCTCCCATGTCCAGCCCCTTCCGAAAGCCTGGAGCTGCTGTACTGTGCCCCTGGAAAAGCCCAGGATGACTGGCCCCCCCAGCACACCCGCAAGTCATGGAGTTCCGTGCAAAAGAAACAGCAGCTGGGTTATCCTA